AAAAAAAAAAAAAAAATAGTAGGTTAGATTTTGGCATAGTCTGATACCTGATATGTACTGTTGTTGTTGTTAAAGTGCCGTCGAGTCAGTTCCGACCCACAGCGACCCTACAAACTATTTAATAGGTTACATGATTAATAAGTAATTTTAGGATTACAGATAGTAGTTATAATCATTATAAAGTTGGTCAGACTGTATATAAAATTTATGTTGTTTTCTGACAATGTTTTAAAAGCTGTATTTATAAACTGTTAAAGCAGTGATTTATATTAGCTTATAAATTACAACAGTTAACAAAAAGAAGCATTGGTGGTACTGTGGTTTGGTTAGAACCCACCAGCTGCCAACATGGGAGATGGGGCAGTCTGCTTCTGATTGATGGAAACCCTATGGAGTATTTCCACTCTGTCTTCTAGAGTTGCTGTAAGTCAGGACTGACTTGATAGTAGTAGGTAATATAGTGATTTTTAGTTTATAAGTTAGTTTATAAGTTACAATAAACATTTCATTCATTTAAGTCAATTTAGGACTCTAATAACAAACACTTTTTGCAGTGCCACTAAAAACATTTTGAATAACTAAAAATACAAAACAGTATTATTCATCGTGTATTATATATGAAAACCTTTTATTTCTAAGGTTAAGTATACCACCTTTACTAAATGATAAACTCAAACTTAAAAGTGGTCATTCTTTCTTAAATCTACATTTGTTCAAAAACTAAAGCTTCAAAAGGCAAAAAAAAAAAAAAAAAAAAAGTCATCTTGTATCAAAAATATTCATGTGTTTCAATCACGTTTCCATGAGAGCATAAACATAAAACCACCTTTAAGATCTTGGCCATGTGATCCGCTCCTTGCCAGGTCAGATTACACGCTGTGAAGTTTACAGTCTTCAGGGTAACAGAGTTCTTTATGCCTTGACAAATAACTGAAAGGAAATACACACATGCTGTAAGAGAAACAGCTTATACAACTAGGTGACTCTTAACTTACTCACATTATTTAGTCTATCGTTGTATTCTTAAAATCACTATCTACCAATGGATTGGTGCATTCTAAAATGTGCAGTAATAACGTGTTATTTCAGTTTACAGTAAAAGCATAATTCTACTTAGGTGCTAAAACTGGATACTCAGAATATTGCAAATGTTATTACCAATCACTTGTTGTTAGGTGCCATCGAGTCAGTACTGACTCATATCGATCTTATGCACAGCAGAATGAAACACTGCCCAATTCTGGGCCAACCTCATTACTGCTGCCACACTTGAGTTCATCGATGCTGCCACTTAGCCAATCCATCTTGTTAGAGGGTCTTCCTCTATTTCTCTGACCCTCCACCTTACCAAACATGGTATCGTTCTCCAGCGAATGATACCTCCTGACAATATGTCCAAAGTATGAGAGATGAAGTCTGGCCATCTTGGCCTACAAGGAACACTATCTGGCTGCACTTCTTCCAAAATGGATCTGCTAGTTCTTTTGGAAGCCCATGGCACTTTGAATATTCTCCTCAAACACCATAACTCAAATGCACCAATTCTTCTACGGTCTTCCTTATTCACTGTCCAGCATTCACATCCATATGAGGTTACTGAAAATACCATGGCTTGGGTCAGGCGTACCTTAGTCCTTTGATCTTCAACACTTTAAAAAGGTATTGTGCAGCAGATTTGCCTAATGCAATGCGTCATTTGATTTCTTGACTGCTGCTTCCGTGAGTGTTGATAGTTGATCCAAGAAGAAAGAAGTCCTTGACAACGTCAATCTTTTCTCCGTTGATAAGAATGTTTTTTATTGGTCCAGTGGTGAGGATTTTTGTTTTCTTTACATTGAGATGTAATCCATACCTAAGGTTGTGCTCTTTGATCTTCATCAGTAAACGTTTTAAGTCCTCTTCACTTTCAGCAAGCAAGGTTGTATCATCTGCATATCGCAGGTTGTTAATAAGTCTTCCTCCAATCCTGATGCCACGTTTTTCTTCATATAATCCAGCTTCTCGTATTATTTGCTCAGCATACAGGTTGAATAAGTACGGTGAAAGAACACAATCTTGTCGCATACCTTTCTTAATTTTAAACAATTCAGTGTTCCCATGTTCTGTTCAAACAACTGCCTCTTGGTCCAGGTACAGATTCCTCATGAGCACAATTAAGTGTTCTGGAATACTCATACTTCTCAATGTTGTCCACAGCTTGTCATGATCCACACAATCAAAAGACTTTATGTAGTCAATAAAGCACAGGTAAACATCTTTCTGATATTCTCTGCTTTCAGCCAAGATCCATCGGACATCAGCAATGATATCCCTCGTTCCACGTCCTCTTCTGAATCCAGCTTGAACCTCTGGCAGTTCTCTGTCAATGTATGCTTGTAGCATACAGTAGTTTCTGTATTACCCTTAGTAAAACTTGACTTGCATGGGATATCAAAGCAATTGCCTTGCATGGGATATCAAAGTGATTGCCCGATGATTTCTGCATTCTGTTGGGTCACCTCTCTTTGGAATGGGCACAAATACGGATCTCTTCCAATCAATCAGCCAAATAGTTGTCCTCCAAATTTCTTGGCATAGATGAGTGAGTGCCTCCTGTGCCACCTCACTTTCTTGAAAGATTTCAATTTGTATTCCATCAATTCCTGGTGCCTTGTTTTTTGCCAATTCCTTCAATGCACCTTGGACTTCCTCCTTCAGGATCATTGGCTCTTGACCATATGCTACCTCTTGAAATGGTTGAACATCAACCATGTCCTTTTGGTACAGTGACTCTGTGTAGTCCTTCCATCTTCTCTTGATGCTTTCTGCATCATTCAATCATTTGCCCAGAGAATCTTTCAATAAGGAAAGTCAAGGCTTGAATTTTTTTTTCTTCAGTTCCCCCAGCTTGAGAAATGCTGAGCATGTTCTTCTTTACTGATTCCAGATTTTTTCACATTTTGTTGTAATATTTGGCTTTATCTTCTTGAGCTGATCTTTGAAATTTTCTGTTCAACTCTTGGACCTCCTCATTTTTTCTATTTGCTTTAGCATCTCTACGCTGCAGTGCAAGTTTCAGTTGTCTCTTCTGACATCCATTTTGACCAATCACTTAGTCATGTATTATAGATGATCTTTTGAGGCAGATGGAAGGAAAAAAGTCTAAAAAGCAAGACTCTTCCTATTTTCATTTCTAACGACATACCTGAATCTCTATTGTTGTTGTTAAGTACCAGGGAGTTGATTCCGACTCATAGTGACCCTGCACAGGGTTTCCGAGGCTATAAATCTTTATGGGAGCAGAAAGTCTTTTTATTTCCCGTGGAACCGTGGTAGTTTCAAACTGCTGACATTGAGGTTGGCAGCCCAACTCATAACCATTACGCTAACAAAGCTCCTTTGAATTTCTATTACTGATCAATAATTCATCAACTCTAAACCAAAGATTTTACTAGGTATTATGTGGTGCTGTATATAATTTTATTAGGTATTATGTAGGAAAAGCACTGGACTGCTAAATGAAAGAAAGGTTGGTGGTTCAAACTCACCAGCCACTCCTAAGGAAACTTTATACAGGGTCACTTTGATTCTGAACCGACCTGAGAGCACTTAACATCATGCAGTATGCCAGGGAGCTCTGTGGCACAGTTGTTTACGTATTGGATTGTTAACCACAGGATTCGTGGTTTGAACCCACCAGTTGCTCCATGGGAGAAAAGCAAGACTTTCTGCTCCCAAAAATATTTAAAAACTCACTGAGTTGGAACTGCCTCGATGGCACACAACATTCGATATTCTCAAGTAATAGTGAGAGGATTGCAAACCTCTGTTTCCTGTAACTGAAACGCAGGCTTCCTTACCCCTGCAGATCATTATTGTACTCAGTAAAAACCTACCGATTCTAAGGAGCTCACTCTACAGTGGCCTTTGCTGTGACTCCTTTCTTGACTCTTCCATCAAGCTTGCTGCCTCCCGGCATGGTCCCACAGCACTTTGTGTTTTCTGTTTTAGTATGGATTAATTATGCATGCATATATGTACATTGGAGTCCTAGTGTGGCACAGCAGGATAAGCATTCGACCTCAAGGTCCATTTGAACCGTAAGATCAGCAGTTCAAACTCACCAGTTGCTCCTCGGGAACCCTATAAAGGGTTGCTATGAGTCAGAACCAACTTGATAGCACTCAACAACAAAAGCAACATATGTACATTTGCATAAAAAATTTAACTATTTAAGGATGGTGGTGAATTTGCTCTCTCTCTTTATTTCTTCCTGTTGCCCATCCCCTTGTACTAATATTTTTTGAAGAAAGATCCTAACTAAGGAACAGATACAAAAATCAGAGCGAGTATACCAAATACTATACACTCAGGGTACGAGTGATACTTCATCAAAGTTTGGACAGGCATTGGAGGCAGTCCGGACAGAAGTAGTAGCAAGAAACAGATACAGGAAGGAATGAACAAGGCATGTAGGGAATCGTGAGGCCAATCTGATGGGACAGGAGTTACAGAGAATTTAAACTCACTTTCTAAACCTCCATCTCCAATTGGGCAACTTGCAAGCGACAGGTGCACCAAAGAAGCTGATTTATTCAATCCCTTTAATGGGGGAAAAAGGGAAAAGTTAGTAATAGAGATTTCTACCACCCTCTAAAAGCAACAATGAAACGTTCACAAGACACATTTCAGAACACTTACCTTTGTTAACATAGTTAAGTCTCTCTCTCTCAGAACCAGCCCATTCAGTTCCAGGTTCTTGAGAGCGCCTGAGACACTTAAACAGCCTTTCAGAGCTTTACACAGCTGGAAGGACACATCTTTGGATCGTACTGCAGGAATACGACTTCGGCACACTTTACTTCTGTCAGATCCTGAAGAATAAGTTTTGAAAAATCAGTGATTTCACGTATACATTTGAAAGTATCAGCTCTGTGCTAGGCATAGAAACAACTCATGCCCATCAAGTCCTCCTTAAGGAGGGAGGGGCACATGTAAATCCAAAACTTCAACCATATGAGATTTATACACAAAGAGTTTCTTATGAAAGCAAAGAAGTTCCAGCTGAGTGAAGACCTCAAGATAATGCTGAAGTTGAATCCAGAAAGATGAGAATGATTTCATGGGGTAGGTATGGGAGATGCATTACGGCAGAGGGACCAGTAAGGTGGAAAGGCATGCAAGCCCGACACCTGCCAGGCACTGCAGTTAGGTAGGACTACAACTCAGGCACAAGAGTTTGAAACTAAAACGGAGGTTGGTGTATACTAGACTGAGAGGCAGCATGGCTTATATCTAATAGGCAATGAGGACCAGAGCTACTGCTGGCACATTAGGATGCCTCTGGTAAGTTAGAAAAGGTACCAATTAGATATGGATAAAGGGTAACTTTCTGAAAGGGAACAACTAGAAAAAGGCATCAATTTCAGGCAGATCAATTGTAAAAAGCACGCTTCCTCAGTGCCAACAGAGCCCAGGGAGCTTGCCAGAGAGTAATCTGGATTTCTGCTCCTACTAGCATCCCCCCCCTTCCTCTGGGTGCCTTTGTACAGAGTACCAGCTGTGCAGCCAACATGCGCTGGTCCCAATGACAGCTTTTTATTTCAAAAAGCTCACTCGGGCTGATCAGATGAGCAGTGAGCTCAGGGCAGGTACAGCAAGTAACTTCTGTAGCTGTCCAGTTGAACTGTAATGAAAGATGACAAAGTACTACTATTTAGAGAGCATCGCTTACATTATAGAGTTAATGAATGCGGGAAATAAACATAGGAAGTCTGAAATCAATCTGCAATACATTTTTTTTTTAATATTCAGGGTAAAATATTGGCAAAATTAAATATGTTAGCTGTGACTCTAATAAGAATTAACTTTGCTGTGATTATGAGCAAATCACTCAATTCTAGGCATCTGCTGCCTTGCCTGAAAATAAGATGTTGACTTGAAGTTGTAGACAAGACCCCTCTCAACTTTAATATCTTTTGATTTGAGTTGATTCTTAGGTTAAGTAAAGTCCCTTCTGAGGTAGAGAACAATTCTCAGACTTAAATGAGATGTACAGAATAACTTGACTTTTTTCAGCAGATGTGACCTGTCTCTGCAGTAGGTAACAGATGGTGCCTACAAAAGAGCCGGGCGAAAGACAGGTGTTTTCTGTTGAGTAAATCAACAATGATTCTTTTCCTCCTAGATCTTCACACCCTCCTTTCTCACTTGGCTCTTTCCCCTCAGCTTACAGGCATACTCAACAGCACAACAAAAAATCTTTCAGACCTTCAGTTTTCTGGATCCTCTGTGTGGGTAACCTTATTTCTTCCATGCATTCAACTACCTGCATTTCACTGAGTCCAAATCTTTATCCTGGGCCCAGTCTTCTTTCAAGACCTACCAGCACACTTGTCTGGCTGCCCCACAGGCTAATGACATATTTAAAGTTGAACTAAGATCTCTCCCACCCCAGTTTGTTCCCTCTGTGCACTGCACCTCAGGAAAATGCTAGGAATTGTCACCCAAATAAAGAACCTGGGAATTTTCCTGCCTTTTCTCTTGTTGAACTCAATACAAAGCCCATGTATTTGTCTATTTCACTTCTGAAATCCAGTCCTGCCTCTCCATTCCCACATTTAATGTGATCCTTTACCATATCCTTAAGGAGACAGGACTCCTGTCCAATGCATTGGACCGAAAAGTCAGTATGAATTGCAAGGTCCGCGGTTCAAGTTCACCAGATGCTCCTCGGAACCGTATACAGGATCACTATGGGTTGGAACTGACTCAATGGCACTTAATAACAGCAACAAGGAGACAGGGTAGTCGTCGTAGGTTATGAGTAAAGCTGCTAACCACAAGGTCAGCTGTTCCGCTAGTGAAAGATTAAGCTTTCTGCTCCTATACAAATCTAGTCTTGGAAACGCTATACAGAGTAGCTATGGTGGGAACCAACTCGACGGCAAACAATCACCACTACCAGCACAATATCCTTACTAGTTGTGGAGTCAGGGTGACTCCCGTGTGTCAGGATGTCTGTGCTCCATAGGATTTTTAACTGCTGATGTTTCAGAAGCAGATCATCAAGACTTTCTTTCCAGGTGCCTTTTGTTTGACTTGATCCCCCAACCTTTCAGTTAGCACATTAACCATTGTGACACCCTACTGAAGGTAGCCTATACAGGGTCGCTATGGCCTATGCTTTATTGACTACGCAAAGGCTTTTGATTGTGTGGATCATGACAAGCTATGGACAACATTGAGAAGTATGAGTATTCCGGAACACTTAATTGTGCTCATTAGGAATCTGTACTTGGACCAAAAGGCAGATGTTCGAACAGAACATGGGAACACTGAATGGTTTCAAATTAAGAAAGGTATGTGACAGGGTTGTATTCTTTCACCATACTTATTCAACCTAAATGCTGAGTAAATAATCTGAGAAGCTGGGTTCTATGAAGAAAAACATGGCATCAGGACTGGAGGAAGACTCATTAACAACCTGCGATATGCAGATCATACAACCTTGCTTGCCGAAAGTGAAGAGGACTTAAAATATTTACTGATGAAGATCAAAGACCACAGCCTTCGGTATGGATTGCATCTCAATGTAAAGAAAACAAAAATCCTCACCACTGGACCAATAAGCAACATTCTTATCAATGGAGAAAATATTGAAGTTGTCAAGGACTTCATTCTTCTTGCATTAGCCATCAACACTCATGGAAGCAGCAGTCAAGAAATCAAACTACTTATTGCAATAGGCAAATCTGCTGCACAAGACCTTTTTAAAGAGTTGAAGAGCAAAGATGTCTAGCTTGAGGGCTAAAGTGTGCCTGACCCAAGCCATGGTATTTTCAGTAACCTCATATGCAAGCGAAAGCTGGACAGTGAATAAGGAAGACTGTAGAAGAATTGATATATTTAAGTTATGGTTTTGGAGAATATTGAAAGTGCCATGGGCTGCCAAAGAACCAACAGATCTATGTTGGAAGAAGTGCAGCAAGAGTGCTCCTTGGAGGCCAAGATGGTCAAATTTCATCTCTCATACTTCGGACATATTGTCAGGAGGGACCAGTCACTGGAGAAGGATTATCATGTTTGGTAAGGTGGAGGGTCAGAGAAAAAGAGGAAGACCCCCAGTGACATGGATTGGCCAAATGGCAGAATCAATGGGCTCAAGTGTGGCAACAATTGTGAGGTTGGCCCAGGACCTGGCAATGTTGTGTTCTGTTGTGCATAGGGTCGCTATGAGTTGGTACCAACTCGATGGCATTTAACAAGTCAAACCTGACTCCACAGCACACTGCTACCACCAACACCATTGAAGGTAGCCAATTCCATCCAATTGGCTATCTTCAATAAAGAGTTCATAGTTTCTAAATCAAAGTCAACCTCATCATCCGTAGCTTAAAAAGCTGGGTTCCCTAAGCCTTTGGGATAAAATTTTAATTCCTTCAGAGGAGAAACAAGACCCTTTCCTGTTTGGTCCTCCACCATGTGAGAGACTCAACTCCCCTGTTCTTTCTCAAACTCTTAAGATATAGCCCGGCTCTTCAATTTTGCCACACTTATATGTCCAAGACTTTCACACAAGCCTCCTGCCATCTGGTTAGCTTCTACCCAAAACAAACAAACTAGACCAAACCCATGCCTATCAAGTCCATTCCAATTTATAGTAATCCCATACAGATTTCTGAGGCTGTAAATCTTTAAGGGAGCAGAAAGCCTCATTTTTCTCCCATGGAGTGGGCTGGTGGTTTTGAACTGCCAACCTTATGGTTAACAGTCCAGTGTTTATCCTACAGTGCTACCAAGGCTCCTTGGCTAGCTTCTACACAGTCTTCAAAAGCTAGCTCAGATGGCACCTCCACCAATACCCTATTTAATTTTCTGTGTTCGTAAGAATAGCACCTCAAGCTCACTTTTATCACAGCACTGACCTTGGTACATAGGACACAGTCATATGTACTAAGTCCTTACTGAAGAACTCATTCTAGTGCCAGGATGTTACACACGTGTGGCGCTGCAGGGTAAGCACTGGACTGCTAACCTCAATGTCTGCAGTTAAAACCCACCAGCCGCTTCTCGGAAACCCTATACGGGTCGCGCTTAACAACAACTTCGTTTAACCCTAAGGGACACATGGAAAGGTATTTTGAATGCCTTTTTATAGGTGTGGGGATTGTAGTTCAGCAACATTAAATAACTGCACCAGGTCACTAAAGTATAAGATTTGAAATTCAAACTCTAGCACGTCTCCAAACTCCTGAGATTTTTCACTGGATCATATCGGTCAATAAAAAACGGTTTGGATGGAAATAACCAGGCAAGCATGCACGTATCATTTCCTACTGGCTTTGTTCTCTCTGAGGCAAAGTCAATCAAATAGGTAACAGATGTCGAATGCTCTAAGGATGCCCCGTACTTTGCGGTAAGTGCTTGATGTACAAGTATAAACTCAGCAAGTGAATTGAGTCCTGTTACAACTTCTAAGTTACAAGAGGAAACTGAGACTTAAGGACCTAATGCAACTTGCCGCCTGACACTTCGATTGCACACATGCTGAGGGACTGGGCACCCAGGGTTCCATCCTGGCCGTTTCCCAACAGGTCTTGGAGAAGAAACATACCGACAAGAGGGCACGGCAGGCGGGAACTACAAACCTGTTTCTCCAAGCCACGGTTGGAAGAAGCTCTTTATAGAGACCACGGGCAGATCTTTATTCACCTTGAGGGTGCTCAGCAGAGGCGCCCAGTCCACGACGCGGAGGCGGTCGGCGTTGAAGTCCAGCACGCCCTCGCGGAGGCTGGCGCGCACGGCGGGCAGCGGAACCGAGTCCTGCAGCGCGCACAGGTACTCGTAATGCGAGTAAAAATCGGCCGCGCTATCACGGCGCAGCTTCACCGAATCGATCATGGCGAGAAGGGCGGGCTCCGGGGGACAGCCGCCTCTGAGACCACGCCCTCTCCGCCCTGGGCACCCCGGGCCGTCGCCCCCTACCCTTGAGGGTCCACAGCCCCGTTAGCTGCGGACCCACCCCGTGCCCAGGAGCGGAGACTCCACCAGACGACGCAGAACTCCGGACCCGGCTAGGCCAGCCCCTTGATGCTGCGCTCCCGCGCCGTTTCCCGCCCCGTGGCCCCGGCCGTTAGCACCAGCCTCATAGTTCTCGGACACCTCGGCGAGATGCGGTTCCAGCCGGCGGGAGAGTGCCCGCCACGGTCAGCGCCTGGGTGACGTCAGCGCGCTTGCTTTGCGTCCGCACGTAGGCTCCGCCTCTAGTAGAGGGGCGTGTCGGAAGGAAGCGGATCTCTTAGGTCTTTGTGTCTGCAGCGCTTGGGGCTAGGAATGTTCTCAGTAAAGAATGGATCCACCAATGGTTTAGGGGCTGTTCTCTGTCCAATAAATCTGTTACCCAAACAAGTCTCAATTTCTGTAGTTTTTACTTACCTTACATGGTTATGATCAAATTGTACAGTGTTCTATTTATTAGGGACGTTATTGTGATTACCAATGATAATTTCAATCTAATCATGAGAATTTTTGTTGTAAACACTTTACTTCTTGGAGCTGCCCTTTGAAATCTTCAGTTCAGCTTTTACTTCATCATTTTTTCCATTCGTTTTAGCCATTCTATATCAAGAGCAGATTTCAGTCTCTTCTGATAACCATTTGGACTTTTCTTTTTAAATAACCTTTTGCTTTATTCATGTATGATAGATATTCTTGATATTATCCCACAACTCGTCTGTTCTCCGGTCATTAGAATTCAATGCATAAAATCTATTCTTGACAAGATGTCTGAATTCAGGTGGGATACACTCAAGGTCTTGTTTTATTTTCTTCAGCTTCAACTTGAACTTGCATATGGTGGTCTGTTCCACAGTTGGCCCCTGGCTTTGTTCTGACTGACGATGTTTAGCTTCTCCAAATTCTCTTTCCACAGATGTAATTCATTTGATTCCTATGTATTCCATCCAGTAGCATAAGCTCTGGACTGCTAACCTCAAGGTCTGTGGTTCAAATCCACCAGCCTTATGAAGGGTTGTTATGAGTCAGAGCCAACTAGATGGCACTTAACATTTTACTGAAAAAAAGATATTTGCAATGAATAAGTCATTGATCTTGCAAAATTCTGTCATGTGATCTCTAGCATTTTTCCTATCACCAAAGTCATATTTTGTACCTACCAGTCCTTTGTTCCCAGCTTTGGATTTGAATCACCAGTTATCAATGTGTCTTACTCACATGTTTGATCAATTTCAGAACACAGAAGGTGATTAAAATCCTTACTTTCTTCATGTTTGGTATTAGTGGTTGGTGCATATTTGAATTATAGCTGTATTAATTGGTCTTCTTTATGTTGTTGTTAGGTGCCATCGAGTCGGTACTGACTCATAGCGACACTATGCATAACAGATTGAAACACTGCCCGATCCTGGGCCAATCTCACTACCATTGCCACGCTTGAGTCCATCGATGCTGCCACTTAGCCAATCCATCTCATTGGGGGTCTTCCTCTTTTTCTCTGACCCTCCACCCTATCAAACATGATATCCTTCTCCAGTAACTGGTCCCTCATGGAGAGATGTCCAAAGTATGAAAGACGAAGTTTGGCTATCTTGGCCTACAAGGAGCACTCTGGCTGCACTTCTTCCAACAAAGATCTATCTATTGGTTCTTTTGGCAGCCCATGGAGCTTTCAATATTCTCCTCCAACACCATAACTCAAAAGCATCAATTCTTCTACAGTCTTCCTCATTTACTGTCCAGCTTTCGCATGCATATGAGGCTATTGAAAATACCATGACTTGGGTCAGGTGCACCTCAGTCCGCAAGATGACATCTTTGCTCTTCAACACTTTAAAAAGGTCTTGTGCAGCAGATGTATCTAATGCAATACGTCGTTTAATTTCTTGACTGCAGCTTCCATGAGTGTTGATAGTTGATCCAAGAAGAATTAAGTCCTTGACAACTTCAATCTTTTCTCTGTTGATAAGAATGTTGTTTATTGATCCAAGATGTATTGGTCATTACTGGTTATTGGAATGCAAAGGTTGGGAGCAAAGAGAAAGGATCAGTAGTTAGAAAATATGGCCTTGGTGATAGAAATGATGCTAGAGAACGCATGATAGAATTCTGCAAAACCAATGACTTGTTCATTTCGAATACCTTCTTTGGACAGCGTAAGAGATGACTATACACATGGACATCACCAGATGGAATACATAGAAATCAAACTGACTACATCTGCGTAAAGAGACTATGGAAAAGCTCCATATCATCAGTGAAAACAAGGCCAGGGGAAGACTGTGGAACAGACCATCAATTACTCAGATGCAAATTCAAACAGAAGCTGAAGAAAATGAAAACAAGTCCGTGAGAGCCAAAATATAACCTTGAATATATCCCACCTGAATTTAGAGATCATCTGAAGAACAGATTTGATACATTAAACACTAAAGACCAAAGACAAGAAGAGTTGTGGGATGACATCAAGAACATCATACATGAAGAAAGCAAAAAGCCATTAAGAAGACAAGAAAGAAGGAAAAGGTGAAAATGGATTTCAGAAGAGACTCTGAAACTTGCTCTCCAACGTAGAGATACTAAAGCAAATGGAAGAAATGAGGAGGTACAAGAGTTGAACAGAAAATTTCAAAGATCAGCTCAAGAAGATAAAGCCAAATATTACAAAAAACAAACAAACAAACAAAAAAAAAACCATGCAAAGATCTGGAATCAAAAACCAAAAAGGAAGAACACACTCAGTATTTCTCAAGCTGGGAGAACTGAAGAAAAAATTCAAGCCTCGACTTTCATTATTGAAAGATTCTCTGGGCAAATTATTGAATGATGAAGAAAGCATCAAGAGAAGATGGAAGGAATACATAAAGTCACTGTACCAAAAGGAAATGGTTAATGTTCAACCATTTCAAGAGGTAGCATATGATCAAGAGCCAATGCTACTGAAGGAGGAAGTTCAAGGTGCATTGAAGGAATTGGTAAAGAACAAGGCACCAGGAACTGATGAAATACAAATTGAAATCTTTCAAGAAAGTGAGGCAGCACAGGAGGCACTCACTCATCTCTGCCAAGAAATTTGGTCTTCCTTATAGGCTTATGGAAATTAGCTTATCACTGTGTAGTAGTTAGGGTTTTGTGTCATCTTTACTTGGTTGGTTTAGTAGTTGAGATGTGCTTATTCCTATGGTGATGAAACCTACTACAGGCATTGCTAATTGGATGATGAGTAGCTATGAGCAGCCAATCAATTGAAGGAATACTTCCTTGATGGTGTGAATCCAGTATAATAGACATGCAGGCAAGGTGCTCTCTCTTCCACTGGGGACCCGGGACTGTACAATTGTAACCCATTTCCTTGATATAAACTTCTTTGTCTATATCTATCTATCTATACAAGTTTCACTGGTTTTGCTTCTCTAGAAAACCCAGCCTAAGACACACTGATAGCATTGTACTTCAGGATAGATCATGAAATGTTCTTTGAATGAAAAATATACAAAGACCAAAAGGGCAGAACACACTCAGCATTTCTCAAGTTGAAAGAACTGGAGAGAAAAAAAAGAAAAAAAAAAAAGCATTAATTTGCAATATTGAAGGATTCTAAGTGTTGGTTCCTTGGAAACCCTATACAGATTTGCTTTGACTCAGAAGCAACTTGAAAGTCACTGAAAAGCTACAACAATGGGGAAAATAATGAATGACACAGTAAGTGTCAAAAGAAGATAAAGGAAGACACACAGTCACTTGACCAAAATGAACTGGTTGATATTCAACCATGTTGGGAAAGAACATATGATCAAGAACCTATGATATTGAAGGAAGACGTCCATCTGCACTGAAGGCATTGGTGGAAGACAAAGGTCCAGGAATTGATGGAATATAAATTGAAATATTTCAACAAACTGATGCAATGCTGCAAGGACTCATTTATCTTTGATAAGAAATTTGGAAGACCTGGTTAACTGACTGGAAGAGATCCATATTTGTGCCCATTCCTAATTAAAAGGTGAAAGAGAGAAAAGTGGAAATTTTGCATATATTGATGTAGGAAGATATTCTTGATGTATTGTAAAATGAAATAGGTAGGTTACAGAACAAATATATACTGTGCCCACTAGAATATAAGATACATGGGATCAAAAATCATATTGGTCATTATTTTCAGCACATAGTTAATACAGTGGGCACTTATTTTTTATTTTTATTTTTCAGGATTGAATGTTTTAAGTGCACAGAAGCTAATCTGTGAGAATAAACATTGCTTTTGCTATCAGTGGTTATTTCTAGCTGGATAAAAAGATTGGAATGGTGGTGCATATTTGTACTTCTTGTTTTAATGATCTTTAGTTTTATAAGAACATAGATGTTTTGTTTTCCGGTTCCTAAGATGCTTGCACCAACTACCAGCACCTGTGTCTCTTCGTTGCTAGGCTGCTGTTCAGCTTTGCTGGTGACATTGCTGGGCCTGGAGAGTCAGGAATGCCCTGTCATTTGTGACCTCCCTAGCGCCAGCTTTTACCAAATAACTGACAGCAAAAGTAGAAGGCTCCAGCAGCCTACCTATCCCTTAACTGAGCAGCTCCCAGATATACTTCTTGCTGTGTCTACAGTTCCTTTGACACGCCTCTGAAGATCAGATCCCAAGGACTTGATTTGAAATCACACCCTTTTCCTAGCTTCCTTTCATTCCAAGTCCCTCTGGGTTTTCTTTTTTCTCTTTGAGAAAAATAACAAGAGGGATTTATTTAGAGATTACTATATTAAAAGGAGCTCTGGTAGCGTAGTGGTTACGAATCGGGCTGCGAACCTTAAGGTCATCGGTTCGAAACTACCAGCGGCTCCGCAGGAGAAAGATGAGACTTTGTACTCCCGTAAAGATTTACACCCTC